CTCTTATTCAGTACATAATGATACCATTTTCGTGAAGGATTAGCGGTCAATCGAAGGACGTCATACAACACACAATGGGAAAAGTCAGACTGTGATGGTGGGATTCGAACACACGTCCTCCGGAGTGGTAATTGGTGGTGTTACCACCCGGCCATCACCACCCGTCGTCTTTTCGGATGTATCGAGGATGCCCAAAGCTCACTTGGTAGACTAACAAGTGTTGTGATCCCTTTTGATGTGGGTTTTGCATCTTCTAAGTGCAAAGTGATGCTGCAAAACTGGGTGTCGCTCACTCGCGCTTTGAAACTAAATGGTCAGGAATTGGTTCTATTGGGTTGCTTTTTCTACTTCGGTAGTGATGTGACAAATGATTGTAGCGCAGCAAAGGTGGTAACCGCCCGCATTTCTAAGGGTCCAGCAGCGTGCGCAGGGCCGAAGCAAAAATGGTTTTTTTTCACTAAAGTCGAAAGGTCGTGTATACACTGTCACCGTTCGTTCAGTTCTGCTTTGTGGTTGTGTTGTCTTGAATTTGCGAGCAAAAGATATCCACGGACTACAAGTTTTCGATTATCGGTGTTTACTAAGTTTGGTGCACGTGCGTTGAAGAGAACAGGTTAGTAATCTGGGGGTAAACCGTCGTGTGTTTGGGTGTTTATCGGGGATAAACTTGATAGCTCATCGAATTCAGATTAGTAGGCTTCAGTGACTTGGGGCACGTATTGCATATGCCCAGTTGTCGTCGGCCTCATCGCACTGTATTCGTTGTAGCCGTCCCGGGGTGGAAGAAACCCCGTGGAGGCCAGCAAATGATGAGCAGACAAGGCATGAGGAAACGCAGAGCTATTAGGTAGAGTAGGTGTCACGCGCCTTCCAGGTTGGGGTCCGAAAGACTGTGCGATGATGACGATAATGATCACGCTCCCGAAATATTTTTTACGAGGTTTTATAGAACTTACACGGCAAGCTTGTCGAGTTTTGATCCATAAAGCCTTGTTTTTCTGTCACGGGTTGTTCTCTTCATTTCATTGAATAATTCAGCGATCATTGTGAAAAACCTACCTACATATATATGGCGTAATTTGCAATTCGGTTCTTTCGTGGCTCTAACTCATCTTTCTGCTTCAGTTCTCTGCCCCTAAAGTTCAACCTATCCATCCCAAATATGATTGCATTGCTGAATATAAACCATTCGGTGTATTTTATCCTGCTCTACTTGAACTGCTATCGGTTCACGTTCTAGTTGGGATGTGGGACAACAGTCCTCGGGGTGGATTGAGTTTATTGAGAAGAGGTTTTTCTTATAAAAATGAAGAGGTTCAGGCTTGCCGTCCATTTTTAACCTCAATATTTCTGTTCACTCCTCGGAGGATTCATTGGTCGAAACGAGACAGCAAAGCCGATGCGCACTATTTTCCTTTTTATGTGCCGATCAAATCTAAGGGTGTTTCTTTGTTGGCCTCCTTACTCGTCATTTGTCTAGCACTTAACAATCGGATCGATTTTGTCCGGCTCAACAGTTTAAGAGCACGTTTTACGCGGTCTAACCTCTGTCGCACCTATCAACCTTGTAGTTGTTCCACTGTGTAACGTTACTGTTTTGTTTTTTGTTCTTCTGAACTTGCTTCTTCCTGTAACTTCTGCCCGCCCAATCCGTACCATCATCATTATCAGATTGCAGTGACTGGACATCATACTTCTCCACCTTAGTATTTCCCCTCCACAACGCTAAGTTGTGGGACACCCTCCCACTCTGTTTTGTATCCACTTAGTCTCTCATTTCTTAAACGCAAAATCAATAAGCTGGGTTTGAAGTATATGTTTCCCTAATTTGCCTTTTCCATAGTATGTTTGACAATGGGATTTTATTCTTTGGCTTTATGAGCAAAAAAAGTAACCTCGGTGACGCCAATTCACGCGTTGGTTGTTCTTTCTCGTAACTGAACAATAAGTCCTCCCTCTGTTCTGTAACATACCACGACGTTCCATAACAAAGTATCATATTGGTTACAACAGTTGGTTGTTTTCTCGCAGCCAACTCACGCTGCGATCTTAGATCCAACCAGAGCTCGGGTAGCAGAAGCCAAGACGATGGTGTACTGTTGGAAGAAAATTTCCCAGCGGATTTTAGTCACCGTTTTGCTTCAACCTCTATGTATTGGAGTGAAACATCCAGTGGTGTGGATCGTGCTTTCACATATTTGCAAGTGAGATAGACTAATGTGATGGTGGGCAGCTTCACTGTCTGGCTCAATACCCAGTCCAACTTAGTGGGGTATGTGGTTCGACGCCGCTCGTCCTGCTGCTTAGGTTCACTCCGTCCGCTTTTCGTCCTATGTAATGGAAAAATGTACACTGACGACCAAAATGAGAACCAATCACACACGTCTGTCTCATCGTCTAGATCTATCCTCGGGATGGTGCCTCGTTTTCTTCTCGCTCTCTTCGCTTCATCTTTCTTAACACAAGCCATTTCACCTTACCAATACTCCCCTCATTTATATCCACCTTCTAGTCAATAGTTCATGATGGGGCGACTGCTCCTTCATCTTTTTTCTATCGATACGACTTTGTATTTTACTCGTCCGGGCTTACCTGATCTGTACCGGTTTGTCTTACATTTCCTCGCCACTTCACGGTCCAGACAGCCAGTCGCCCTTATCAGGCATCCGTTTTCCGGCCCCGCAAAGCAGGTTTCCAGTCCTCATTTCCCTTCCAAAACAGCTTAGCCGTAAAACACCCTTCGTTTGTCCGTTTGTCCACCCACTTACCATAAAACACAAACGTTTGCCACCCCTATCATAGTTATGTTACCGGATCATTACCATCTAAGTACTTGTTAATATATCAATCCGATTTTCCCAATAGACAATTTCATGCTGATCAAGTGGAAGTTTGTTAATGGATAATTGTGAGTTACAAAACCTAGCGAATTTTTTGCCCTTCCGCTCAAACAATGACTTTATTTTGTATATGATTGCACATCTCATTCGTTCTTGTTTATTGTTCATCCTGTTATTCAGGTTGCAACCGAAAGTCTACGATTGCCGATTCCAAATCACCTAAACCCGCGCATTGCACGTCTTATCGAATTGTGTCTCAAGGAAGATCCAGGCAAACGACCTCGATTTGACGCACAGCTGATCCAGTTGTTGGACAAAATGCGTGAACGTGCCGGTCAGTAGGGTTGNCTTCTTACTAAATCGTCCGTTGATCGTTCTAATCAAGTGGCTGCCTTGCGTTCCTGGTATCGTTCCCCACCTGTCTTACTGGGTCAGCCCTCTGCACTGGATCCATAAACACGGAGATAAATATACGAACACTTCCCCGCGTTTTTCCTGCTCACTTTTATTACTCATGTGCTTTCGCTTTCTAGCGGGGTTCTTTCTCACAGTGACCAACTAAAACGATGACTACAGTTATAGCAGTTTTACATTTTGCTT